GTTGCCTTGTTGGTCTGTTAATACTAATATGTATAAATGTATAGTGTTGTCGCGTTGTGTTGTATGTCAGCGTCCAGTGTTTCGTGGTGTACACGCTGTCGACAGGATTCGCAGCTCTCCTAAACCAAGACTGCAAGGTTTCGTCTGATCGCAGAATGCAGCAATACGCAGTGCAGTCAGCGGCGGCACGGAGGAGCTGTAGGGTGATGGGCAAGAACAGGGAAACGACGCGAATCCGGGTCAGGAACCAGATTGCATCAGAGGTGTATCCTTATGAGTAGACAGGGACGGGGGGGCCAGGGCCGCTTCAAGGGTCGTCCTGACAAGGGGGTGGCCACGAGGAGGATGAGGAGAGGAAGGTCGAGGAGAGGGGGGTTGAGGCGAGGGGGCCAAGAATCCTGGGTTTCTCTTGTGCCTGATGGAAGAGGAGAAGATCGCTCGCGGAACCTCTGTCGATGATGATGATGTCTGGGCAAGAAACCCCAAAAACACGGGAGGATCAGGAGGTCATAATGAGGAGAGAGAAAGAGAAGAGAGAAAAGACCAGAGAAAAGACACACGGCCACAGCAGAGAAATCCGTCTCAGGGTCCCACCATCCCTCCTCATCAACTGGTGCTCAACGTGTTCAACGTGCTCAACGTGCTCAGCTTGCTCAGCGTGCTGTGCTCAAGCTGACCTGCGTACGAGCGATCGCGCAGGCTGCCGCCGTTACGAGGTACGGGGCACTGTACTCGTGAGTCGACCTTGGATCTCGACTCGTGGCTCAGTGAGCTGTTCGGTCTCGAACTGCCGCTTCATCCACAAGGGACTTGTACTGTACGTTGCTCTCCTGCAGGTCTGTCAGGTCTGTATCATCTCAGCTCTGCCCAGTCTGTCCACCCCGCCGCCGTTCGTGCGCCCTCCCACCATGTCACTCACCCTGCCAGGCCTGCCCCGAGACCCCCATCACCGCGGGACCGCGGGACAGGGCTGGAGTTCGCAGTTCGCAGTAGTGACGTCTGCAGGCCAGGATGATAACATCATACCCGCGCATCCATTGGCCGATCCCCCGGTGCTACGCTCCCATTCCGCGCCGTGCTGGGGCCCCCAGGCTGGGCCAAGCCCCCCTGTCGCCTGTTGCCTGTCTCTCTCACTGGGGAGGGCCCCCCTGTCTTGCTTGTTTCCATCGCTGCGCCACCGGGGGGAGAATGACCGTTCCAGCGGCTTTCCATTGGCGTGAGAGGGGGCAGAGTGACCGTGACGGCGAGAGAGATGGAGTCATTCACGGTTGGCCACAGGCAAGGGAGAGGGAGGGTTTCCCGAGGCTACCATCCAAGCCGTGCAAGTTTTCCTGGGCCCAGGACCCAAGCAAGCAATCCGTCCCTTTGAACGTGTCAAGCTTGTCCACCCTCGCCGTCCGATCTTCACCCTTCTCGTAGAGCCGAACGAGCATCCAAGCGAGCACCAGCTGGAAGTGCAAAATGAACCTTGGCGAGAGCCCCCCCCCCTCTCCCTCGCCCCCGTCTGCCTGGCGTAGCACTCTGCTCTCAAGCTAGGCCCTGTCGCGCCGAGGCGCAGCGCTGCGCAGAAGCACCTACATGGTACTATTCCATGTAGCTAGCAGCCCACATGGCCCGTCGGGAGACCCCGAGACCTGCAGTCTTGTCGCGAGCCGCCGATACGCCTCGATGGGTTGATGGGGCGCGCACCCCTCCTCGTGAGGGAATCCCGATGGAAGAAGTCATGGAACACGAGGTTTTCGGTGTTTTTTTCTTCTCTGGGTCCAGCGGGGGTCAACGACGAGACAAGCGTCATGTTGAGCTGCTTCTTTCCTCACGACACTGGAAGACAGGATTTCAGATACGAAACGAAGGGGCGAATCCCACGAGTCAAACTCGCAGGGTCGTGCAGAAACAAGGCAACCCCATCCCGTCAAGCAGGTACAGAGAGAGGCAGCCAGAAGGTCGGTCACTCGGGTCATTCCAGGTGCCGTCGTGTGCCGTCGTGCTTGCGTTCGTGCTTGTGCTCGTGCCTGTACTGTTGGTGTGGTAGCAGACAGTACCTAGTGGTGACATGCTCCCCCGTCTGCGCCCAGAATCGGCCACAGGGCTGATGGTAGACTTTCCGTCAAGACACCTGAGGGCGTTCGTTAGCGGGCGAGTCGTCGCAAACCACGTTCCACTTTGACTGGCCCCGTTCTCGTCAGGCCGCCTCGTCGGGGCACTCTGGCTGTGCTGCGACTGCTGTACATGTATGCCGGCGCGCTTGGGAGCTTGCATGCATCGTCGCGATGCCACGGGCGACTAGCGAGTGGGTGTGGCCTCTGCAGGTCGAAACAAGCTGTCCGTCTGCTGTCCGGCCTTTATTGGCCCTCCCTTTCGAGCGCTGCCTCGCGAAACGGGCCATGCCCTCCTCTCCGGCGAGACGGATTTCCTCACTGAATCCCATTCTTCATCCTCCTTCGGAGCTCTTCCTCGCAGCATGCCACCGTTTTCAGCACGATTGTCCCCCTGGTGTGTGTGTGTTGTCTTTCGCCATTCTTCCAGGCAACAAGTTTATCTCTACGATGCTTGGCTGCATCACAGCTGCTCGGTCGCCTAAATGGGCGAGGCTTTGTAGACCACCGCTGCAGGTGGGCGTAGGACTGTGCAACATGAGGCTCTCACGAGAGATGATGTGTGTGTGTCAGCGGGTCCATCAGACAGCCTGAAAACGACACCCGATCAGAAAGCCACCAGAGCCAGCGAAACTTTGATCGCGCCCTGCTGCTCAGAATGAATTCTTCTCCCTCCCCCCCTTGCCCCTCGACTGCATGGCGGAGGCTGAGAAACAGTCACAGAGCCGTGCGGCCGGCCGGCTATCAACTGGCGCAGTATGCGAGGCATGGTTAGTGGTGTCAGCCGGGTGCTCAAAAGGGATCCGCTCCGTGGGTAACATTTGGTATTATTGGCAATGGACAATGGAGATCAGGCTTTTCCCAGCCAGAGGCCGCCCAGCGTGTTACCGAACCTGGCTCGATTCGGTCGTCTTTGGCTTTGCTTTCTGCTTCTCCGCCAGTGGGCTGCGTGTGTTCGAGAGGCAGCAATCTTGGAAACGTCCAAAGCCTAAACTCTCTGTCGAGTCAGGCCCGGGTCATCTGTGCATCATGTGTGCTCCTCCGGGTGGCCGGCCAGCTTCCGCGAACGCTTGGCTTCTGTTGCGGCAATCTGCCCTCCTCCATCGCAGCAACTTGGCCCGCGCCTGGATCCCGGCGGCGATGCAAGACATGCGGCTCTATCCGTCTGCGCCTCGCTCCTCCTATGCCCTCGCTCCTCCATGCCCTCGCTCCTCCTTCCAGTAGCCCCCCTGTTCCACCTCGACTAGTCTGCTGTCCTTAGCTACCTCTACTGTCCTCGCAGCCTGCTGTCCTCATAGTCTGCTCTCAAATGGCATTCTCTCAAGCGAGTATTCCTTGACCCGTTGACTCAGCAGGTGACCCTTCTCACGCGCAGACCTCTCGACCACCTCGCCGCCAGACACCACCTTGAACTGGGTGACGCCCTGCTTCGGCGTGAGGCCGAGCGGCAGCTCGGCCGACGCCACGACCTCGACGGCCCTCGCCCTGTCTCCCCCCGCCCTCGCCGACCTGCCTGCGAGCGACGCGGTGCCGAACCGCACCGCCTCGCCCAGGATGCCGTTCATCTCGACGGCCTCGTTGAGGCCCTCGAGGGCGGCGCTGACCTCGAGCTTGAGGGCCGTCAGGAAGTGGCCGCCCTCGGCCTGCTGGTGGCCCACCGACACGCTGGTCAGCCAGCCGTGGGTGCCGACGGCGTCGATGCAGCGCGCCAGCAGCTCGGCGATGAGCGTGATGACGCCGTCCGACGCCGTCCTCGCCGCCTCGTCCTGGTCAAAGGTCGTCATCTCGGTGTAGCGCGTCGTCCAGGCGCTGCCGACGAGCTGGATGCGCAGCAGGTGGATCAGCGCCAGTATCTCGGTCGGGTGGAAGGCGATGCGCAGCGCGCGCACGGTGGAGACGGAGGAATAGCCCGCCAGCCTCTCGAACGCCGCCGTCAGCAGCCGCGCGCGGACGTTCGACTCGTCGCCGAGGTTGTACTCGGCGAGTTCGAGCTCACGCTCGAGCTGGTCAATCTCCATGGTCACAAACTCTTCTTCCTGCGTGCCGCTGGGCATCGGCAGCGCCAGTCGCGGCTGCTGGTCGAGGCTCTGCATTATCGTGCGCACGATCAGCAGCAGCTCCACTTCGCCGAGCTTCGTCGCCGACAGGTAGCTCATGAGGAGCTCCAGCGCCGGGTCGACACCGACGAGCTGCTGCACGAGCACGTCGGCCAGCGCGAACAGGGACACGTCGGCCTCCTTGAGCTCGCTCCGGAAGGCGGCCAGGATGTTCGATAGCGTCAGGTGGCCGGCGACAACCAGGTAGAGCAGTGCGTTGCTTTCGGGGAGGACGCAGTTGAGGGCCGGGCAGTCGTTGTTGACGTCCTTGACGTCCACCGAGAAGACGCGGCTGATGGCGTAGAGGACCCAGCGGCGGTCGACGGCTGCGTATGCCGAGGGCCGTTCGAGCCATTGCCAGTCGGGCGTCGTCGTGTCGTCGTCTTGGGGCTGTGTAGACTCGTCAATGGTGACGCCAAACTTGGCCGCCAGCAAGCGCTCAAACTCCTTGAGGTCGTTCTGACCCAGTGCGTCGTCCATCTCCTCCACTTCGACCAGTGACTGTTTCACGTAGGCGTCCGTCAGCGTGCCCGGCAGGTATTTTGAGAAAGCAGCCTTGCCACGGCGCTGCGGGAGGTCGGCGGGAAGGTGGTCGGCCTTGGACAGGCCTCGGCCAATGGCGTCAATGAGGAGGCCCTCCTTGGACGACGCCTTGTGCCGTTCAATCTGGATCGAGTAGATGGTGTTGTTGACAATGGCTATCGCCAGATCCAGCTTGGAGAGATATGTGAGGAGCATGGGAGGATGGCCGCCCCCTTGCGCACCCGACTCCATGGTCACGGCGGACTGCGCCTGGACAGAGCGGTAGGTGATGTTCGTGATGGTGAGCGCCATGGGCGACAGCGACAGCACCGAGTGTTCGGACAGATGTACAAAGGAGGATGACGCGTCAGGCATAATGACGGCGTCGCGCAGCCTAGGTACCGCCGTCGTGAGATCATAGGTCCGCATGATGTTGTCGCAGAGCTCAATGAGACGTCCCGTGCGAACGTGGAGCTGGTAGGTTGGTGTCTTGACGGTTGCCAGGCCTTCGTGCCGGGGCAGCGGGGCGACGTGGAGCTGCACGAGAGCCTGCTGGGCGGCGTTGGTTGTGTTGTTGCGCGCGACGGCACCGAGGACGATGAGGTAGCGGCCCGTCTCCTCTTTGCCGCGCGTCGTGGCAACGAGGACGAGCACATCCGGGTTGAACGTCTCTGCGTCAATGGTGCGACCGAAGGCGCCGAGCGCATCTTGCCGACCGCCAAACACACCCTTCAAAAAGTCAGAAGCGGGGCCGTGGAAGACAGAGTCAACCTCGAGGCCAGAGGTCGCTGGCGGCAGAAGGTCTTTGCACAGGCTGTACGCGGACATGGTCCATCTCTCGTCGAGCGCGGCACCATCGAGGCAAACAATCTGGCCGTCGTTGCAAACAGCGAGAACATCGCTGTACGCGTGGCCACCGGCTTCAGCGTCGGGTGTCACATTGGCGTGGTGTGACGTGTAGATGCGGGCAACGGGGGCCTTGTGCCGGAGTCGTTGCGACCTGGTCGTCGATGTTGTCTTGCCGGATGGGCTGACGACGTCCTTGCAGACGGTCATCTTGGAGCCGGAGACAGAGCCGTCCTTGGTGGAGAAGTATGTATATTGGTCGCGGTCGTTGGCATTCGGCCTCTGGTAGCGGATCGAGTATGGGGCGCAGGTGAAGGACTCTTGGGGTGGGATGGGGTAAGACGTCCTCAGGTCGGAAGAGGGGATCTAGAACGACGGGTCAGCCCATGCCGAAGAAGACGAATGGCGCAATGAACCTACGTGGTAAATGTTGGCCGCCTCGCCATCGACGCCAACGGCAACTTCGAGTCTCTTGCGCTTCTTGGAGCCGGGCTGCTGCGTGAAGACCTCGCCAGCATGATATTGACCCGTGGAAGAATCGAGAGGCCTCGGAAGGGTCGCCAGGACATCGGGCTTGTGGATGCGGAACGCGGGAGCCATCTTGTTGTGTCAGGAAAAAGACTGCAGTTCGGCAGTCTCGTTGATGGCACGGTGAGGGGTTGTTGGGAGTGTGTCTCGCCTCAATCGAATCGTGCTGCTCGCCCACGACAAGCAAGTGGTCGTGGTCGTGCCTGCGGTGAAGTCGAAGAAAAAAAAGTTCGGGGAGCCTGAGTGGGGCTCGGACGATAAGAGTGGATCGAACGATAAGACGAGCTCATGGAAGCAGCTCGACAGGTACCTAGCTACCACCTGGGAGATATGTACAGGTACTTAAGGTAGGTACCTCATTGTGAGATGGTGAGATAAGGTAGTATCCTGCTGCACTTCTTCTCCATCTGTTCGATACTATGAATGCAAGGTGCATCTGAATGATTGGCATTCCTCCAAGGGCTTTGTGCTACCTTTCCATCATGTCTATCAGCCAGAAGTAGCGCGTCAGCTCTACAGGAGCAGCGTCTGTCTCTACTGTGAAGGCACCAATTCAGCCCAATCACCATGTCTAACGAGAAGCTACATTCACGAATCCATGCAACATGTACCGGGCCAATGTAACTGGACAAGAAACGAACCTCGTCGCTTGCTCACTGCTTGTCCACCAACCCAGTCGAGATGTGGACATGGTGCTGAACTCGATGAACCTACGATCAGAACAAATTTGCTACTCTCATCGTCAGAGAAGAATACACTGTTGACTAGTTTGTTAGAGCCTGCTTCTTCTTTTCTATTCACCATCAATCATGTCCCTCATGGACGAGACATAAACACCGGGAATGGAGGGGTTGGGAGCGTCACAGACCAAAGCCCGATAACGATAAGACCTGGTAAAGTGCACTGGCAGACGCGCTCCACATCGACGTCGCGCTTGACGCGACTTCGTCCCCCTGCCCTCTCTCGACAAGGGACTTGGAATCGACATTACCACCTCCACCACTCCAACCACCACCATCAAGCGTTCCCCCCAACTTGGCCATACTTCATCCCTGACCCGTACAGGCGAGAACCCAATTCACTACCCCTACACAGTCGTTTATTTATTCGTTCCCCCAAGACCTCACCAATGCCAGCATTGCTCGAACCTCCAGCACTGCTCCGGCAGTGATAGCATCGACTCGTGTACGCGTCCCGGCCGAGTGCATACATAAAGAGCGGCACTGATCGTCATGTCCATGTGCAGATTGACCCCCATGGGAACCCTCGTAGCAAATATGGCCCCCGAAGCCTTCGCCGATCCCAAGAAGCTTCATCCATTTTTCACGCCCGGATCCGACAGACCAACTCCCTCGGATGCCTTGACCAGCGAACACCCAACAGCAGAGGTTGGCTCCTTGCCTAGGGCTGACCACGATGGGCCGACGCCGAAACGACGAAAGATTGATCCCGACGCTCTTGAAGAGGCCAATACGCCAAGCACCAAAAAGCGCCGCAACCCACGGAAACAAGCAACCAACGGACCTTCCATCATCGAAGCACTCTCAAAGTCCAGTTCTCTCGGAACGAACGAGCCTGACACACCATCCATTTCGACTGGCCCGGCAACCCCCCTGGCCGCAACTGAACGGCCGCTCTCAAACGTTCCTGTGCCGAACACCAGTGCAGCCAATGCCGAACAATCTCAGCCTCTGCAAGACGATGCAAAGCCCAAGCGCGTCCTGAAGTTCAACCCCAAGACAGGCACCATCGGGTCGCCACCAAAGCCCAAAACAACGACCCCGACTGGAGCCAAGTCTAAAACGGCAAAGGGCAAGCAGGCATCCTTCATTGTGACGATCCCCTTTGGCCAAGACCCCGAAAGCCGCCAGCGGATCGGCAGCAAGATTGAAGAGATCCTCAGAACACCGTCCACTGCGATACCAGACACGAAGACGCCACCCAAAAAAGGACGTGGAAAATCCACCAAGCCTGCAGCAGAAAAGGCCAAACAGACCAAGATGGATCCACAGACGGGACAACCTGTCACAACAACCGCGCCTCCTGCCGCAAAAGCAGCCGCCCCTCCCCCGCCGCGGCAGGTCATCTTCTCCTCGACCCCTTGCTCGCCAAAGAAGCCTAGGAACGCCATCAAGCGCACGAACCTGCCCCAATTTGGCGTCAAATCAATGGGCCTCAGAGTTCCAGGTGCTGCGCATCCTGCTTGGGCCGCGAAAGGCGCTACCCACGTGACGGGACTTGCCGAGGACTGCTGGTCTCAGACTGAAGTACAACTCCCCCCAGGTATCTCTTCGAGGAAGGCCAAGGGAAGAGTGACGAATGTCCCTCCGCAAGAATCTGTCGTGGGCCAACTGGGTGCTGCCTTGGACATCAAGGGCATCATAGCCGCACTGAGCGCCCAGACGGAAGAGTTCGATACGCCGCCACCAGAGCTGCGATTGCCGGGGAAGCACTTTGAAAGCGGCCCCAAACTGCAGGCGCGGATACGACCTGAACTGAGGACCCCTCTTCCGTCAAGAAGCAGTCTGAACGACGACAGCGACGATGAAATTGTGACTACGACGAGACAGGCGCCTCATGCCGCAGTCTCACGTCTGTACAAATCACTCGCGACTAGTTTGTCGGCGTTCGATAGATCCGAATGCGAGGACCTGGCCTGGGTGCAAAAATACGCCCCAGCAACAGCAGCCGAGGTGCTGCAAGTCGGTCGGGACGCCATCTGGCTCAGGGACTGGTTGGAGATGCTCAAGGTGCAATCTGTCGACACGGGCATCACTACGGATCAGAAACCCGCGACGGTGAAGGCGGTGTCCGGGCCCAAGAAGAAACGGAAGCGTGGCAAGCTGGATGGATTCGTCGTGTCCAGCGATGAGGACGCTTCGTACGACCCCGACGACATGACCGAGCCCGAAGATGAAAACGTTCCTCTTGCGCCGAAGCAGACCATCATGCAGACCATCCCCAAGAGCGGAAAGGACATGCCGAGGGTGGCCAACGCAGCACTCATCAGTGGGCCGCATGGGTCAGGCAAGACGGCCGCCGTCTATGCCATTGCGAAGGAGCTGGGTTTCGAGGTGTTTGAAATCAACTCGAGCAGTCGACGCAGTGGCAAAGATGTGCTGGACAAGGTGGGCGACATGACGCGCAATCACCTCGTGCAACGACATCAGGACAGCAAGCAGGGTGACGCAGAAGATCCCACAGCCAAGGATGTCAAGTCGGGAAAGCAAGGCACCGTCATGTCCTTCTTCAAGCCCAAGCCTGCCCAAATCAGCACGCCAGCCTCCACGACTATCCCGCCGCCAGCTGTGCCTGTGCCTGCCCAGGTCGCAGCACCGTCTGGTGACAAGCAGGAGGAGGCGGAGAAATCAAAGAACACTCAACCCAAGTCCCAGAAGCAATCTTTGATTCTCATCGAAGAGGCGGACGTGTTGTACGAGGAGGACAAGCAATTTTGGACGACCATGACAACGCTGATTGCGCAGTCGAAGCGGCCCTTCATCATGACCTGCAACGATGAGAGTCTGATTCCGATACAGACACTGAACCTACACGGCATCTTCCGCCTCAGCCCCCCGCCGACCGAACTGGCACTCGATGTCATGCTACTCATTGCGGCCAATGAGGGTCACGCCCTCCGCAGGCCAGCTGTGCAGGCATTGCTCGAGTCCAGGGGCGGCGACATTCGGGCCTCTCTTACGGAGCTAAACTACTGGTGCCAGCTAGGCGTTGGCGACCGACGCGGCGGTTTCGAATGGTTCTATCCGCGGTGGCCGAGGGGGTGCGACAAGGATAAGAACGGCCATGTCGTGCGTGTTGTCAGTCAGGGCACATATCTGGAGGGCATGGGCTTCGCCGGCGCCGAGTCGCTAGGCCCTTCTCAACGCGAAGAGGACGAACTGCTCCTGCAGAGCTGGGACAGCCTCGGCATGGACCTCAGCAACTGGCACGAGACGAGGGATCAGGCTGCCTGGGCAGGACGCATGGCCAGTGCAAGCCGCAGCGAAAGGCTCGCAGCCCTTGACATCTACGAACGATTCGCCGACACGATGAGCGCCGCCGACCTCTGCTCCAACGGTCGGTTCGGGGTCGGTCTTCAGGTACGTGGAGCATTGCACTCTTCGGATATGATATGAGCTAACCAGGAAACAGGAAAACCTGGACGCGACACAGCCCGATATCACTGCGAAAGCTCGCGAAGACTACACCCTCGGGCGGCGTCTGCTGGAAGCGCCGCTGGTGACGGACCACGAGCCCTTTTGCACGTCAGCCGCCATCTCGCTTCGTTGCGGTGCGCGCCAGCTTGCGGACGACAGGCGAGAGACGTACAATGCGCCGATGGGCTGCATCAAGCCGTCGGATGTCATCAAGAAGCTTTGCGAGTCTGCACCCGCGGAGGAGGACATGCCCATCGTTCGATACGACATGGCGCTAGCGTTTGACCCCATTGCCATCTCTGAACGACATTCCATCGTGCCGGCGAGCTTCCTCGATCCGTCCGTGTTCGATCGCACGATGCGGCTGATCACGCTTGATGTGGCGCCCTTTGTTCGAGGCATTGTGGCGTATGACCGGCGCATGGCAGGGACACAGCGCAGCAGCCTGCTCAGCGAAAACGTGCGGCCGGGCAAAAGGCTGAGGCAGACACGAATGGCAGCTCTCGACGGCGGGGCGATGCTGCGACGGGAGCATTACTTTGGGTCAAAGCTCAACCCCTATTTTGTGATGCGGACCGGCGGCAAGGGGTGGGCCGAGGCTGCTGTGGAAGAGGCGCAGGGCGATGGTATAGAGGAGGAAACACAGGCGCAGGGCGATGGTATAGAGGAGGAAACACAGGTCCCCCCGGTAGCGGTAGAGAGCAGCTTCGAGTGGGCGAACCCAGTCACGCCGGCCATGTTTGCCATGACTGCCGGCCGAGGCTAGAGACGTCGTGTTGACGGCGGCGGACTCGGAAGATGGTAAGAGAGACGGACATGGAGCATTTGGTACATTTTGGGACATGGCATGACACATTTCAAGCGGGCAGCACAACTGGGGAGACGTCCATGGTCGCACATGTAAGTAGGTAGAGAAACAGACGGCTACTCGTTGGCTTCATAACTTGGTACCCAAAAGGGACAGATACCTTTATCACCATGTCAAAGTCGCACTTGGTAAACCCCGTCAACTCCTACCTCCTCCAGCCAACCATGTCGTCGTACTCGACATCATATCGACGATAGTGGTCGCTGTACCGCCTCTCTGCGGGGTATCGTCTTTCTTCCGGTCGGCTTTCCTCGGGGTACCGTCTATCTTCCGGGTACCGCCTTTCGTCCCCATATCGCTCAGCGGGATACCGTCCCAAGCGGTCCCAGTCATCGTCATAATCGGCCGCAAACCGCCTCGGCCGCCTCAGATCCTCATACACATGATCCACATCATCCACGCCCAGCCCATACCGCACTCTGCTCCTGTCTCTGTCCCTGTCCATCGCTCTGCCCACGCTCCGTCCTCTCCTCCTCTCCCGCTCCCGCTCCCGCTCCCGCTCGGGCTCCGGCTCCGGCACCTCCAGCCCCTTCTCCCTCGCCCTCTCCTCGCGCCACCCCTCCCTCATCTCCTCCAACACCGGCCCCGCCCGCACGCGGCCCTCCCGGAGCACGCCGCGCGGCCTCTCGACCACGACCTCGGCGGCGCGCCCGACCTTGTTGTCCCAGTACTTGTCCTCGCCGTGCACCCAGCCCTTGGGCCAGTACTTGTGCAGCAGCAGCGCCGAGACGCCGATGCCGGCGAGGAAGCCGTAGGGGATCTCCTTCTTGTCCTTGACCTTGTCCTTGACCCTGGCTGCGCGCGACGTGCGGGACCGCGAGTGCGAGCCGCGGTGCGACGGCGATCGCGAGCGCGAGGCCGAGAGGGAGCGGCGCGCCAGCGACTGCGAGCGCGAGGCCGGCTGTCGGCGGTCCGAGTAGGATGTTGAGCGGGCGCGGTGGCGTGAGGGGGAGGGGGCGGGAGAGGGAGAGGAAGAGGAAGAGGGCGAGAGGGAGTCATGGTATCGGCGCGGCATGCTGCCCTTGTCTGCCTGCCTGGCCTCTCTTTCGTTCTGTAGACGTTCTCTCTCCAAATGCGACCAGTGTCGCCGCGCAGTAGTGTCGTCTTAGCGAAAGGGGCCCTGTCCCAAAACGATGGTCGTGGCAATGGCTTTCACCCCAGGACCGTCTGCGTAGGTGGCACACCTCCAAGCTCAAAAGCGGATGGGGAAGAAAGGAGAAGAAGAAAAAGAAGAAGAAGGCGAGCTGGCCGAAACGTCGCCCGCCGCCACGTCTTCTCTTCTGCGGCCTCGTGTGAGACGGGTCGATCCCAGCCCGATCGGCGGCATCCACCTACGAAATAGCTGTGTGCCCTTTTCGACGTACGTGGTCGATCCTTCCACATCAAGACAGTAAGCCAAAGAGAAAGAGATTCGTTGGCACAATGTGTTGAGACGGAATCGATGCCTGACAAGGAGGCTCGTCACACGAGGGAAAATGTACATGTTCATCACGACCCCAACGACCAGCCTTATATCCATCCCATCCTTCCCTGGCTCACATGGGCTCTCATGAACGAGACCAGAAAAGAGAGAGAGAGACACACACACACCTCATGCACTGCGGACCAAACACAAAAGCGGCACAGCCCCGCGCTTACATCGGAGGCCTAGTCCAGGCCAGAGTCAGGCAGACAGTCAGTCAGCCCTGAAATAAGAGAAGAAGTGCCAGACAAGAGATCCCCCCTCCCCCTCCGATCAGATGCATAGCCGGCTCGCAGGCAACCATACAATGACTGCCGTCCAACTGGCCTTGTCGGAGAGAGGGGAAAGAGGGGAGAGAGAGGAAGGGGGGGGCGTCAAAAAGGCGCACAAACGTCACACGGCGCACGCCACGCTGATGTTTCTCATTCGGTCTGTGAGAAACCGGAGCCAGCCTAACCCCCCCCTCGTCTCGTCCTGTTAGATGTCGCTCTTTGCAGTGTGAGCCGCGAGAATGCTGTGCAACCAACTTGCCCCTCTAAGGCAGTCCACGAGGCCATCTTGGGAGATCGGATGGATGCCGCGAAACAAGCTTTCACTTGGCATGGCTTGGCCATCGATTTTGGTACCTCGACAGACAAAGCTTCCTTCTGGTTTGACTTTCTCCCTCTCTCCTTTGTATTCGCCGCGCCCCACTGACATTGTCCTCATCCTATCCTCACGACGGCGACCAGTTGGCATCATCTTATTTGACTGATTTGCATGGCACAGAGTGCTGCTATCTAATGCTGCTACTGTCATTGCTGACGTGCGCAAGAATCTAACATTGTTTCCCTGTGCTTTGACCGGGGTGGGCATTCCCCAAGCACTTTCTCTTGACCCCTCCTTCTGCATTTCCTTTGTCCTACTTGATACATGTGTCCAACGCCGAGAGTGGCAACTCTAGAATACCACTCATGCTCTTGTCTTTGCCGTTGCATGCCCTGTCCCAAAATGCAAAGCCAAAGCCTAAGACTCATAGCATCCATTTCAGCAATATGGCTACGAAAAGAATAAAAACGCCGAGCCATGCATAATTCTTTGACAAGAAACAAAAAATAGCAACAAACAAGCAAAATGCAATGGAGCGCTTCCTCAACCTAGTTGAGATGGTGACCCTGTTGGCCGTGCGGCATCATCTGCTGCACAGGCTGTGCACTGCGATATCCCAGTGTCATGTACTCTGGAACCACGCCGGTTCGCAGGTCGTTGCGGCGACCAAGAGGCTGATAGTGCATCTGTGGCGCCGCTGCCGCTGACATGTGGTACTCGTGGAGAGAGGCGGACGGAGGTGGGTACAGCAGTGTGTTGACGTGGCGTACCGGCTTGTACGGGCTGGGCCTCTGTTGGAGATAGACGCTAGGCGAGTGAGAGATGGGTGTGTGTGATATGGGCGTGTGCACTGCCGAGACAGATCCGTACACGTCGCCCAGAGGCGACGATCCAAACGCCGCCAGAGTGCCGGGGCTGTGGCGCCGGCTCGGGGTTCCATAGCTCATGCTTGGGTGCACTGGCATGCCAATTGTCGGCGTCAGAGTAGCCTGTGGCATGACAGACCCAGTCGTCGAAGGAAGCGGCAGCTGCGCTTGTGGCACCGGCCCGTTTGCGGGATAGACGCTCGACATGGCGCGTACACCAGGGACTAGTGGTGGGAGCGAGACGTGGGAAGGGGGCGCGTAGGCAGTCGGCGTCATGTATTGCACGGAGCCCGGAGTTGGTGTGTTGGTGTTGAGGGACAGATTCGGCACTGGCAGCCGTATCGGTTGCTCACCCACGACGGGGGGTCGTGCAGGGGGCATCGCATTCGGTTGCACATTCATGCGCTTCGCAGGCGGCTCTGTCGGGTCCTCCTCGTGTGCCCTCTTCTTAGACATCATGTTGACGTGGGATTTCGCAGTCAGCGGCGACATGACGGGATTCTGGTAGCTAGTAGGCCACGCTTGGCCATTCGAGGCGTTGACGTTGCCGTGGTAGACAGGGGTAGCCGAGGCGGGGAGAGCAGGGACCGCCGACGTGGCCTGGGTAGCCCGGGTGGGTGATGGCAAGGGAGAACTGAAGAGCGCCTTGGACGTCGGTGATGACATGGCGATTGGAGACGTCGGCTGCTTGAGGGCACGCTCATAGTATTCGGAAAAGCAAGAGAGCTTGGCCAACCAGTCCTCCCACTCGTCCTTGGTGGCCAGGAGGCTGTACCGCATGTTACTCAGAAACTCTACCTCCATGACATGAATCTCCTGGACGGAAATGCCCGAGACTTCGGCCCACGTCTTGTTTGTGTACGTGTTGTCGTCCAGAACTAGTTCGCGTTAGTCGCCGATGGATGAAAGGCAAAGGGGGGCCATGCATACATTTGTTGCCCAACATGAGGGCCACCGTCAGCAGCCTGTATTCGCTGCCGGAGCGGCCCTTGACCGCTGGGTTAGTCATCTTCAACCTATAAACGAAGAGTAGAGCCAGTAATATGACACTCTGCGTGACCTGAGTAGTCGATAGAACGCCGTACGCCCATTTCTTGAAAGCAGGGTACGGAATGGCGTGCTTCGTCAGTCTTGGTACTGTTGCCGATGCAGGCCGTGACCTGACATTTTCCGCAGCTCGCAGGGTATCCATTGATTCGAACCAGAAGAGGCATGTAATCTATCTCCGAGTTAGCACAGCCTACCAGGGCAACACCGCAGTCTTAGATCACTCACCTGCGCAGCGAAATCAGCCAGGTTGCCGCCCTTGGGGTTGATGCAGCTCGGCACGTGTAGGCTGTGGTGGATCAAGGCCTGTGAGCCCCGCCTTGAGGTGCTGCCGTTCTGTGAAGACATGCTGCCCTCAGCAGCCGGGGTTGAGGTTCGTGTAGAGTGTTTTGAGGTGGTGGAGTACTGAGAAATACCCGAGGCAGGGTTTTGGGACAGATTTGTAGCATGTGTGTATGGTTGTTGTTGTTGTTGCTGCTGCTGCAGCTGGGCTTGCTGTTGCTGCGGTTGCTGCTGAGCATATCTAGGATACTGTGACGGCCGAGAAACTTCGTTCATGGACGGCACAGAGCCACGCACATGCGGAAGAGTGGAAGAGTAAGAGGGGAGAACATGATTATCGTAGGGGCCCACGATCGGAGGTTGGTAGGTGGTAGTCATGTCGTCGGATGGGGGTGTCTGCAGGCCACGCTTCTGACTAGTCTGCGGGACGGGATGTCGGAAGTCGGGGCGGTTGCTCAGGCGCAGGGCAGCCTGGTGACAAAACTGGTCGTTCGAACGGTGGTTGAAAGAGGATATGGGGTAAAAGGCCGATCTGGAGACAGCGGTTGAACACATTTAGTAGGTCGATCGAAGATGTCGTGGAGTGATTGGTGAATAGACTGTGGTCGACTTTCGGCATGGACGAAGGAAGCCCTCAGAGTATACGTGGTAGGAAGCCTTTGGCCGGAGAAGGGTTTTGCGATGTAGACAGGTCAGGGGGGGAAAGACGGTCATCTAAAGCCTGCACATGGCACAGAAGGGGCGTCAATGGAAGCGGCGGTAGCTTCCCGTTGCTCAACAACAAGACCCAAAGAGGAATTTGACGT